GGAACTGGGGATTGAACTCAGACCATTGTGCTTGCCAGGGGAGCACTTATTCTACTGAGCCATTTCCCTGGCAAAACTTTAATCTTTTCTTAAACAAATTCAACCATGAATAAAGAAAAATTTTCAAACAGGACCAAGCATTTTACTTCCTGCCAATCTATCCACTTCTTTGGGAGGCTCATTTGAAATCCCTACCCTCCTTAGATATTATTTTTAATCAATACACTTCTCCTTCCAGCCAGATAATGCAAGTATGAGAATATTTATTGGTCATTACTAAGTTGCATTTCTTAACAGATAAGTTCAATTTATCTCTGTGTTGTTATTTATTTATTTATTTATTTAACTCTAGATTTCCAAATACAAAGGATTGCTTACCTGGTTAGAAAAATATCGATTACCTTTCTTCTGTAAAACAAATTTGTGTTTCCATTACATCCTTTGTCAGGAGCTCATCAGCTTTGCCAGGTCTCCAGAAGGAGGTAAGTGTGTGTGTGTGTGTGTGTGTGTGTGTGTGTGTGTGGAACAATGGACAACCAGTCTACATGACGATCTGATCAGTCCTATAGGAAGATACAAATAACAATTTGATTGGTAGATATATGAGTGGCTCAGCCCCTGTAGCAGCAACTGTTAAGATGGAAAATTGGGTCCTGATGTAACAATTAAGAAGCAGGTGGGGTAGACCACCTGCTTTCTCTCACTAGAGTCAGAAATTACAGAATTAGTGGTAGTCACAAGGCATGGTCAAAGATGCCTGATATATGTCAAGAATCAAGCACATTTTGCCACCTTCATTATTACCATTTAGTCCTACCTACCACTTCTTACCCAGGTGCTGAAATCTCTTACTTAGTCTCCTTGTTTTACTCTTGTTTTCCTGCTTATAAACACCACGGAGAGGCTTTAAAACATAGTTGGGATATTGAATCTTATTAAATTTAAAAGCTCCTACAGAGCAAAGGGAACAACTAATAGAATAAAGAGATAGCCTATAGAATAGAGAAAAAAAATTGCCAGGCATTCTTCAGACCGGTGACTAATAGCTAGAACATATAAGGAGCTATAAATCTGGACTCCCAAAATAAAAAACCCAATCAAAGAAAGGACAACTGAGAAAGAAATACAAATGGACAAGAAATGTATTTTTAAATCTGGCCATAAAGAAATATATGTTAAAACAACACTGGCATTCCATTTTACTCCAGAAAGAATGACTGTCATCAAGAAATCAGTAACAAAATAAGTTCTGGTGAGGTCTCTGGGAAAAGGGAACCCTTCTATATTTTTGGTGGGGACCCTGTCCTAGCCCAGGTCCGGTGAGTGTGTGGAGAGCTTCCTGCTACCCTGCACTGGCGGGACCAGTCCCAGCCCAGGTGCAGCGTGGGCTGGACCCTCTCCCACCCCCTTGGGCCGCCCCCCACCACTCCGCAGTACCTCCCCCACCCCCCCAGTAGGAATTTCTGCCGCGTCTGGGAACCCCTAGACCCAGTCCTAGCCCAGGTCCGGTGAATGTGTGGGAGAGCTTCCTCTTCCCCCTACTTCACCTTGCCCCCTCCAGGCACAGCTCAGGCCTGGCATACACGCCTGGGGTGTAACCCTGCAGCTGCAATCCCTGCAGAGAGTGTAGAGGATAGATCCACCCAGCTAGTCTAGGAGCAGAACATCTTGCCACAGGGGCACAACAGGTTTACCCTCAAGAGCAGCAGTGGGAAGGAGCTAAGTACAGCAACCAGACCCAAGTCAGATGCAGCTGGATAAGTCCAAACTTTGTAGAGCTGCACCTGAACTTCAGTACGTGCGAAGGTTATAACTACAGCAAAGATCTACAACAAAGGTCAGAAGACAGTGCTACATATATTTTTGGTGGGAATTTAACCAACTATAACCACTAGGAAAATCAATGTGGAGAGTCCTCAGGAAACTGAAAGTAAAAATTCCGTTTAGCTTAACTAGCCCCTTTATAGATAGCTCCCTGAAAGAGCTAGACATCATGTTGTAGTGATGCATGTGTACTCCTGTTTATGGTAGTGCTACTCATAACAACGAAACCTCGGAAGGAAGCGAGCTTATGTATTCAAATTCCAAAAAGAAAAATCCAATATCCATAATTCTGTGTTCAACAAAATTGTCCTTCAAAAGTGAGACTGAGATGAAAATGTTCCCAGACAGACAAAAACAGAGGAGGTGACCCGCCAGGAGGGTCCTGTAGGATGAAATCGAAGATCACTAGATGGTAAACTGAGACCATATGGAAAAAATAGAGATTTCAATAAAGGCAAATATGCTACTGTATTTGTAACACTGGTTTGTAAGTGGTATTCTGTAAGTAAAACAAGAGATGAATACATTTCTTAAATAAAATAATTATTAATAACTTTGGCCTATACCTACATATTACTTTTTAAAATGTATTTAGTTCAGGGTTTGCAGGGTCTCACTACACAGATTAGAATCATAATGATCCTCCTGTTTTCAGCCTCCCAAGCACTGGGGTTACAGGCACTCTCCACCATGCCTGGTCTCAGTTGCCATCTCAGCATACCCCCGGGGCAAGACCAGCACAGCACAGCGAGAATTGAACCCCGGTCCCTGCACTCTGCCTACATATTACATTTTGTTTTCTACAATTTAACAGACTAATTTCTGTCTATTTAATAGCCTAAGGCATGTCACTGAATTCTTAATATTTTTAGGGCACACAGTGTACCCTTTGTTGAATTTTATGTCATCAGCAAACAAAAGGGATGGCGATGGAACTATTAATGTAGAGTTTTTGCATGTTATCAAAGTTTAGTTGGGATAAATTCAAATTAGACTGTTATAATTTAGGATGTTAAATCTAATCCTCATAGCAATTGCAAAAGGAGTTAAAAAAAAGATTATGAGAGTACTATGAACACCTATAAATTGTATAACCTAGAAACAAATGAATTAATTCTTAACACAAAATCCACCAATATTAAATCAAGAAGAAAAAAAATATGAATAAACTTATAGAGTAAGGGGATTGAAGAGGTAATCAAAAAGTTTATGAAAAGGACCCAGACTTTGTGTCCTCTCTGGTGAATTTGGCTGCACATTTAAACAATTAGCACCAATCCCACTGGGGCTTTTCTAAAATGTTAAAAATCAGGAATACTTCCTAACTCATTCCATGAAGCCAGAATTATCCTGATGTCTAAGCCACACAAAGATACTATAACAAAAGCAAACAACAGCTGAATATCCTTCATCAATACTGATGAAAAATATTACCAGAAAATATTAGCAAATGGAATTTAGCAGCATATCAAAAAGATTGTACAGGGCCGGCTGATAGCTCAGTGCACTAAAGCACCTGATTAGGCAGAGCACAGAGGCCGGGGTTTAATCCGTGGCATGCTGTGCCTGCTTTGTCCCTGGGGCACACTGATACTGAGATTGAGACTGGGCAGGGTGATGTACACCTGTAATCCCAGCACTTGGGAGGCTGTAAACAGGAGGATCACTCAGAGTCCAATCTATATAGTGAGACCCTGTAGACCCTGTACTAAATACATAAAAGAAAGGTTGTACACATGACCAAGTGAGATTTATTCTTGGAATGTGAGAATGGTTTGATATGTAAGTATTGATCCACTTAACACACTGCACTAACTGAAGTAAGGAAGAAGCCTGCATGATTATCTCAGTAGACGCAAGAAGAGCATTTGACAAAATCCAGTATAATTTTGTGACTAATGAATGCATTTTTCAAAGTAGGAGCAGAGGGAAACCACTTCAACGTAATAAGAACCATATTTAAAAACTCAAGCTGAACCTCATATACAGTGGTAAAACACTTAAAGTTTTTCCTCTGAGATTAGACACAAGGCAAGGGTGCCAGCTTTCAACACTGCTATTCGATAGCAACACACACAACCTCTACCATCACCATCACCACCACCACCACCACCACCACCGGTGGCTTTTACCTTAGTGCAAAATATAACATCTTTCTACTAATCCGCAATGTTTGGCACCCAGATCCCCTTTATCTCCCTCTAGCCTCCTAACCCATTCACATCTTTCTAGCCACACTGACTTCTTTGCAGCTTGTTAGACACGCTGGACACTTTATTCAACACTTCTTACTGGACATTTCCTCAACCTGAAATGTTCTTCTTCCATATATCTGCGTTGCTCCTTCTTTCATCTCTTGGAATGTAAGTGCTGATTTTACCTCCTCAATGAGAACTACTTTAATGATTCCATTTCATGCTATATCCTATGTCCATTCATCTATTCTGTACCCCCCAGTGCACAAGAATATAAACTCCTTAGGGACTGGAATTTTTGTTGTTTGTTGATGTAATTCAAGAGCCTAGAATGGTACGTGGCACTTGGTAGGCATGTAACAAACATTTGTAGAAAAAATAATAGATAACATTTCTATCTAGGATTGAATTATTAAATTTGGATCATTGGCCAAAAGAAGCTAAGTATGTTTTACCCAGGGCAAAGTTAAAGTTTAGAAACATGGAACAAAATGTAACAGATCTGGGCTGGCAAGATAACTCAGCAGACAAAGCACCTCCTCTGGCAAGCACAGGGACCAGGATTCAATTCCAGATCTTGCATGCCATGCTGGCCCTGCCCCCAGGGCGTGCTGAGCCACTCCTGTAATCCCAGCACTGGGGAGGCTGAAAACAGGAGGATCACTGCAAATCTGATCTGCACAGTGAGACCCTGTACCAAACACACAAATCAAAACCAAAAAGTAACACTAATATACTACTCACAACTACTTCATTCATATTTACATATATCGGTAAAACTGAATTAAAATGCACACTAAGGGCAAAATCATTGTTAGGTGGGAACTCTAGAGGGGAAGGCACCTTGGTCAGAGTATATTTCAGAGTTGCAGATTTTCACACATCACTGGATGGCTTGGCACCTACCTACATACCACCACATGGTCAGGAGCTTCTTTTCACTGGCCAACACCTTCCCTCACTCACACTGAAAGAATGGACATCTGGCTGTGCTTAAGGCTGAGAGAGGGCCAGGAGGAAAAACTCATTCTCTCTCTAATCATGGACTTTTTCTGGCAGCCAACATGATGAGATGGAAAAAGGCAGATGAGTGGCTGATTGAGAAGTGCATTGGCGGTGTCAGAGGGATGTGGCGCTTCTGTTCCTACCTCAAGGGCAGTGCAGGTGGGTTCTTGAAGTTCTTCTTGGGGCCTTTACAAGTTTCTAGGTTGCGTGGAGCCCCACTGATAGTTTAGTAACATTGTTTATTTTGAGGACAGGCTCAGGTTTTGAGGGTGAAATGCTGGGTCTCCAGGGAGCAGGTAAGGGAGAGTTGCACACACTATGCCATTCAAGACTTTGGCCCTGAAACAATGATAAGATATGAAATGTAGTTTTTGGTATCTTTTGGCTCATGTGGTGGTATGTAGGTAGGTGCCAGAGCTGTACAGATTCCTCAAGGTATATGGTTTTTCTCCCCTCATCTTTATTTTTTTAATGCATTTATGTCTGGGTCTACAGGGTCTGCAGGGTCTCATTATGTAGATTGGACTTGTAGTGATTCTCCTGTTTTCAGCCTTCCAAGCACTGGGGATTACAGATGCACACCACTACACCTAGTCTCAATCTCCATCTCAGTGCACTCCAGGGGCAGGGCCAGCATGGCATACTACATCTTCATTTTTTTGAACAAAACTCAAATATCTCATAATCTATACACATCATCTAGCATGTTACCCTAAGTGGAAGAATTTCTAATAACTGAAAAGGCAAGAACAAGAAGCCACAAAGGGCTTTTAACAATTAAATCCTTCATCCAACACTATGTAATTCTTTCAGAAATGACATCTTAACCCAAAGGCATGACTGATGATGATGATGATGATGATGATGATGCTTAATACCACAGGGAAGACTGGTGGGAGGTAAAGTAGCTTCACACAAGACACAATCACCAAAGGGACTAGATAAGGATGCCTATCCTGTCTGATATGTAGGTGAAGAATTGGTGGATTTCTGGATCCTTGCTGAGAAGATCCTGAGCATAGATGAGATGGACCTGGAAGTAAGAAACTACTACCTGTCCCTCCTTCTCGTGCTGAAGGCCACCCATCTGCAGGAAGGCTCAAGGGTGGTAACTCTCTGCAACACGAACATCAGTAAGGATCATAGAGCACGTGTGAAGTAAATATATATAACCAAAGGTCAATGTACTAGTATCCAATAACCTCCAATCTTTCGCAATAGCCCACCCCACCTACTAGGTATTAGGGACACCAGTATGAAACTCAGTCCTGAGCTACAGCAAGGTTGTAAGAGACCAGGTCTTTAGGCTGGTACTTGCCTCCTCTTGAGATACTGGCTGGAAGAGGAAAAGGGGCATGGAGGCAAGGAAACCGGACATCTCTGAACCTGCACAGCTTTATCATTTTATTACAAAACTGGGATTCTATAGAACAAACTACAGTCCGGGGAGCAAATGCAGTATGTATGGCCTATAAGCAAATAACTTTTTAATCATTAAAGATTAAAAAAGAAGACTATGTGATAAAGATTGTACGTGGCTCACAACACCTCAGATACTTATTTACACAAAAAGTTCGCTGATGTCCTCTAGAACATGACATCGATTCAAGCTTGTTTGCTAAATGAAGTGGCATTTCAAACTTATATTCAAATTTGATCTAGAAGACATGCTTTGAGGATTAGACACAGTCCTTTTTATCCATATAAATAATGGAGGACTGATAACTTTAAAATTTGGGCTAGTAGGGCCAGGGAGATAACTCAGTAGATTAAGTGCTTGCTTGGCAAGCACGGGGTCTTGAATTCAATCCCCGGTACTGCAAAATAAATAAAATAAAATTAAAATAAAATAAAATAAAATAAAATAAAATAAAATAAAATAAAATAAAATAAAATCTGGCCTAGTAATGATTGATTACTCTTTCAAGGCCTTTATTCCTTTAAATTATTCAGTCCAAATCCCATCCTTTGGTCAGTTATAGCCCTGAAGAACCCTATTCCTATATATACCTCTCTTGTTCTTAATTACCTTTTCTTACACTTTTTGCTTTCCTTGAAAATAACATTCAATAGTAAAAAAATTTGAGGAATCCAGTCAAATGCTTTCTTTGCACAGGGAAGGAGGATGCTCAGACGAAAGGGTTACGGTGTATTGAGCAAACCCTAAAACTTTGCTGCCCTATGTTTTACCTGTCTACTTTCCATAACAGTGTGAAGAACAAATGAAATAAATTACACACACAGATATCTAGGGAGGTTTAAAAAATCTGTCTCATCATAATTGCAATTCTCACATCACCTTCACCCTTCTCTTTTATTTTTCCCAGAGTCCCTTCTGAACCTCTCCCTCTGGCATCCCAACCAGTCAACCACCAGGAGGGAGACGCTAAGCCACATGCAGAAAGTGGCTCTGTTCAAGCTCCAGAGCTACTGGCTCCCCAGCTTTTACGCCCATGCAAAGATGGCGATGGCCTGTGAGGATGCGTGCCGTGCTCTGATGCAAGAGTACGAGACTCGCCTGTGCAGCTTTTGCTACAGCCACGCGGGAAGGCTCCCTCTGAGCATGAGCGTCCGGAATTCTCTCCACTTTCAAAAGTGGTACTCAAGCAAGAAGGCCAAGAGGAAGATATGGCAACTGACAGACCACACCTCTTGGTCTCTTGACTTAGACTCCGTGCAAGATATCAGCACCTCACAGCAGGCAAGTCCACAGGAGAAGGTGGTTATACAAATGCCTCCCTCGGAAGTGGCTTCTTCAAAAGAGAGGATAATCAGGTTCCTGGAAAAAGAAAGTCACTGTGTCACGAAGTCTAGTGTGAAGAAGAGGTCTAGAAGCCACCTCCAAATGGAGGGCCTCTTTGAGACAAAGTTCTCAACACACCTGAGAACTTCCACCCCCATTATTAATCCGCCCTCTAAGATGATAATCAAGAAGGCCGTCAAGCAAAGCTTCTCCCTGGCATATACCCACTGGGCCTTGTGTGCTGATGCCTGTGCAGGGGGTCCCTTCCGGGACTACCTGAAGAAGCTGAATTTGAAAATGGAGACCCAGCTCTTAGACCTTTGGCAGGACCTATACCATTTCCTCAGTGTTCTGATGAATAACAGGAAGAATGGGAATGCATTCTTTTGTCACCTTCTGGGTGACAGAATCTGTGAGATCTACTTGAATGAGCAGATTGGTCCATGCTTACCTCTGAAATCTCAAATCATTCAGGGGCTGAAGGAGATGTTGCCTTCCGGGGATATGAACCCTTGGATTCCCAGAGCCCAGAGGGAAATCTGCAAGGTAGGCCACGCCTCAAAGAAATGGGTCAGTACCTGGCAGATTTGGTCAAGACTGACCAGAAATCCTGCCTGGTCATCTATACTCCTAAGTTAATGATATAATGATTCACATAAATTTTCACATCTTGAAGCCCAAGTTTTGTAATTTCCCATGTACCAGCCCGAACTACAAAGTAGAATGGAGGAAGGAGTGATCAGTGTCCACCTCTTTCACTTCCTTTTATTTATAGTCTCCCCAAATCAAACAAATAGAGCATTAAAGGAGAGCTTTAGTTTTTTGCTTTTGGTGCCAATGATCAGACTGTGGCTTCTAGCTTCCTAGGAAAGTGTTCTACTGCTGAGCCAAATTCCCATTGCCCAACCCAGAGTATTTTGTGGGAAGTTTCAAGAGTTTTGTTACAAGCATTATGAACTGAAAAGCAAGCTCCTGTTTTCTAGGTTAGCCATCAGAAAATTGGCCAATAGGAAGGATTTGTTACTGTCTCAAAACATTAAAATAAATGCAAGACAATAGCCTGAATACAAGAAGTAAGGCCCATATCGTAACTGTTGTGTTGTAATAAGCTTGGCAGAAAATAAATGGCAGAGTTGAATAAAGAATGAAGGGCCGGCCAAATAGCTCAGTGGATTAAAGCACCTGCAAGCAGGTGCAGGGGCCGGGTATTCGATCCCTGGGCCTGACATGCTGGCCCCAACCCTGGGCACACCGAGATGGCAATTGAGACTTGGCATGGTGGCGCGTGCCTGTAATCCCAGTTCTTGGGAGGCTGTAAATAGGTGGATCACTATGAGTCCGATCTAGCAGTGAGACCCTGAACACCCTGGAGACCCTTCCCTAATATATATGACAGTCAAATAAAAGGGACCATATACAGAAATGGGTGGCACTAGATGACTCACAAGAATAGTGTAACACCTACCACAAAAAAAAAAGAGTGGGGCACCTTTATCATTCCTAGACCTGAAGAACTGAAGAGGAATCAGTTACTAGAGTCAGCAGAGAAAGAACTGTATGGAGTGAGACCCTGAGGAGGAAGTATACCACTGGGACATACATCCCACCTGCAGTGACATAGCTAAGGTGGATCAGGGGAATAGGTGCCCCTGCTCACTCTCATTCTTTCTCATTCCTGCCAGACACCTGATTTGATGAACCCACTCAAAAGACAAGAGAATCTTTCGATGTACTCTCTATGGGTTAATCTTCCAAGGCATAGCAAAGTAGAAAAAGGTAGAAAGTAGAGCTGGAGGAGCAAAAGTTAATGCTAACAGCAAGCCATTTCATTCATTTTCATGTATTTACCTTAGAAATAACATTCACCCATATTGTCTCACTTATGCTTCTGAGAAACTCCAAAGGGTGGAGTTATGTTGCTGACTGTTATACAAATGAGGAAAATGAGACCAGAAAGAGTACTGGACTGACCCCAAGGTGCTTACCCATTTAGTAGATGTGCCAGGGTCAGAATCTAGGCATTCTTGGCTCTAAGCCAAGATTTCCTTTTCTTTATTTTTTTTAAAAGAGAATAAAAAAGTAAAAGAAAACATTAGAAATGATAACAGAATTTCACTAAATAAAATGATAGGAATTCAACGATGATTCTTATATTACATATTGTTGCCTTTAAATTAAGCATTCAGATTACCAGATATAAGCATGCAAACTTGGTCAAAAATTATAAAAAGTTCTGAGGGAAAATATTAAGCATTAACTTCTCCTTACAATAGACCAGAATAAATCAGCAGTATAATTATCCAAGCTATTTTGTGTATACACATACATATTTCTTTTTCCCTTTCTTCTTTCTTTTCTTATTTCTCTCATCCCAGTTGTCCCTTCCCCTTGAACAGTTTCTTTCCCTCTCACAGTATCTACTGTACCTTTGAGATTTTATTTACTCTTTTGGGTTCTTACACTAGGGAGACAATATGATGTTTCGTCTGATTCATTTCACTTACAAGTATGGTCTCTAGTTGCATCCATTGACCTATAAAAGCCTCAAGTGTATCTTTAACAATGAGTAGTACTCTGTTGTATAAAAGCACCACATCTTGCTTATCTATGCCTCAGTCGATAGCCATTTGGATTGTTCCCAAGATTTAGCTATGACAAATTGTGCTGTTACGAACATAGGTGCACAATGCATTGTAACTACCCGTGGACATACATCAGGTAGTGTTAGACCAGATCGGTCTAGTGGACCTGTAGCCATGGATTTTCTTTGCATAATTTTTGATTAATGAAAACACAGAGATTTTCTTTTATGAAGGCATTTGGAGGTTTGATAGTGACTATAAAAATAGTCAAGTACATATGACATCAGCAAAGGACATTAAAAAGGTCCAGCTACCAACCCTAAGGAAACATAGACCCATCAACTGCTTGCTTGACCAAGAACTCCAATAAAGTCATCTTAAAGAAACTCAGTGAGATACAGGAAAACAAAGACAAACACTAAATACCTTTTGGATCTGATAAGGTCAGTCAAATCCCCTCAGGATTTATCCTGAGATCCTGTACTAGATCCAAAAGCTACAATTCTGGTTGCATAGGTCTTATTTTATCTTGGTCTTAACCATCGAGCAGAAAAGTATAAAGATGAAGTATAGGAAGTAAAGCCATGGTGTTATGTTGAGCTGTAGGGGATTCAGGTCAACAATTTCTGATATTGCCAGTCAAGTGGAAGACCCAATACTATTATGGGATACTGGACTCTTTTAGAATATTTTGCTGAGTTAACACACCTATAATATTCAAATAATAGCACTAAACAAAAGAGAGCATACAGATGACTGTCCATTTTGTATCTGTGTATTCAAAGTGGTTAGGATAGATATATAGTTACATTCTCTTAATGAATAGAGGGATTTGTTCTAATGGTGTTTGTAAACAGGATACCATGTCTGCATCTTGTACAGCAAATAACCACTAGGAAGAGAGCATGCAATATGTTAATTATTGAAACTGTCCTACCAATTTGATTTGAAACTACCTCATTGCTATTTATCTCTCAATAAAATTAGGGGGGAAAAACACTAAATAGCATCAAGAAAACAATATATAAAGAAAATGTAAATCTCAGTAAAGAAATAAAAATCACTGAAAGGACCAAATAGAAATTCTGGAGATGAAAAACATAATTCCTAGACTGAATAAATTCAACAAACTTCAGTAGCAGATTTTATCAAGCAGAAGAATTAGTGAACTCAAAAAACAAGACATTTAAAATGATCTGGTTAGCATAAGAAAGAGTGAAGAAGCCTACTGGACTTATGGGGCACTGAGAAGCAGACCAACACACTTGTGGAAGTCTCAGAAGAAGAAAGAGATGAGTATGGACAGTTTATTTAAATAAGTAATGATTTAAAATTTTATGAATCTAGGAAAAAATAAAAATTCATATAAAAAAAACCCTGAAATACATGAACAGCAAAGAGGTTTACTCCAAAGAAAACTTAACACTACATTCCCAAAAATCAAAGATGAAGAGAGAGTTTGGAAAGTAGCAAAAGAAAAGTGACTTGTAGAGCCACAGACATGGGTCTACATTATACAATATGGGTTTTGTTGAAGTTGTCAAGAATAAGGCCTACTTTAAGAGATACCAAGTGAAGTTTAGAAGGCGACAAGAGAGCAGAACTGATTACTATGTTAGGAAATGCTTGGTAATCCAGGACAAAAATAAGTACAATACACCTAAATATGGGATGATAGTTCATATAACTAACAGATATCATTTGTCAGATTGCTTATGCCCGTGTTGAAGGGGATATGATAGTCTGTGCAGCATATGCACATGAACTACCAAAATGCAGTGTGAAAGTTGGCCTAACAAACTATGCTGCAGCGTATTGTGCTGGCCTGCTGCTGGCCTGGAGGCTTCTCAATAGGTTTGGCATGGATAAGATCTATGAAGGCCAGGTGGAGGTGACTGGAGATGAGTACAATGTGGAAAGCATTGATGGCAAGCCTGGTGCCTTCACCTGCTATCTGGATGCAGGCCTCACCAGAAGTACGACTGGCAAGAAAGCTTTTGGAGCCCTAAAGGGTGCTGTGGACGGAGGCCTGTCTGTCCCTCACAGCACCAAATGATTCCCTGGTTATGACTCTGAAAGCAAGGAGGTCAATGCAGAAGTACATCGGAAGCACATCACGGGTCAGAATGTTGCAGACTATATGTGTTACCTAATGGAAGAAGATGAAGATGCTTACAAGAAACAGTTCTCTCAGTACATAAAGAACAATGTGACTCCAGACATGATGGATGAGACGTATAAGAAAGCTCATGCTGCTATACAAGGGAATCAGTCTATGAAAAGAAGCTGAAGAGAAAAGTTAAAAAGAAGAGGTGGAACCGTCTCAAAATGTCCCTTACCCAGAAGAAAGATCAAGTAGCTCAAAAGAAGGCAAGCTTCCTCAGACCTCAGGAGCGGACTGCTGAGAGTTAAACCAAAATTCTATGAAGATTTTTCAGATAAAGACCAATAAACTTATTCATCGGAAAAAAAAAGAAAAAAGAAAGAAAGAAAGAAAGAAAGAAAGAAAGAAAGAAAGAAAGAAAGAAAGA